CATTATTTGAAATTCACTGTATTTATTGTATTAATTTATAGTATTTATTGTTATTAAATGGCTGTCAAGTTGTCATAAAAAAATGACCATCGCCGTTTGATATAGATTTCTTTCTTTTAAGGGTCTGCATCGTTGTCACTACAAACCAGGTTTTTATTCATTGTCCCTACCACTATAAAATATGCCAGGGGATAAGATTTTTGTTATTAAACTTGTAAAACCTTTACCCCAAATTTTCCTGAACTTAAGCTTGTTTTAATGCCCCTACATCAATATATGTTGAGAGATTTTTCAAAGATTCCTTCAGTTTGCCACCCTTAATTTCCCTTAGAAAAACAAGTAAAACACATCATCAAGACAGAGGTATGACAAAACAGTTGTTGACTGATGTGATGTGGGATATGACGTTTTGAACACCCTCGGGGACGCATAGCACCCTCGGCTTCGCCTCGGGCGCTATGCGCCCCTCGGGTGTTCAAAACGTCATATCCCACATCACATCAGTCAACAACTGTTAAAAATCAATTCAGTGATAAAAACCTACATCGTATAACGGTAACGATAAGAATTGGATAGTGAATAAAAGGGATATAGAGCAAAAATCTACATTATCATACAATAGAGATACAGCATACAATGGTGAATCAAATTTGGCAATCAGATTATCAATGGCTACAACTCATGCTGGATGTGAGGCTGTCGAAATTATCCATTGGCGGAACAATTCTTATGCTATCACAAACATCAAACTTATATACAAGTGAACTATACAGAAATAAGAAAAACATCGGCTTACCTGTATCAACAGAGCACGTTTGCAAATGATGCGAGAAGGAGTTAGCAACGTCTCTCACGAGAAAATGACTTAAGGAAGTCCGCACTCGTTCCTAGGCTAACTTATCAAATATGCAAAGAGTAGCACTCTAAGATATTCTCGCATCGAGGTCTTCTTCGCTTCTGAAGAATTGAGGTGGGGCAGGGGTTTAAAAACCCATGCTGTTCACGCGCTCGGACAGGTTTGGAAAACTTTCCAATTGGTCAAAAAGCTAAAATAATGATATCATCTTCGGAAAGGCCAATCAGAAAAGGAGTAGTGGACCAACATTCTTGAGGGAACGTGGCCAAGCAGCCTGAGATTAACCAATCTGGTCCTCCTTTTAGGACACAATGGTCAGCGTGATCGAACTCCCTGAATTGAAACAAAGGAAACTGTGTACTTTGAAAAACTTCCATTCGTGGGGTGACCGCAACATCTAAGATGTTGTCCTTCTGGACAGGACGTGGTCAGCGCCGATGAGGCCGACTTACAAGGAAATTCCAACCACACACCGTGGAAATGGGACAAACATCTTGTCGGACCATATTTTAAAAAGGTTCCAAATTTAACAGGGTCCGACACAAAGAAATGTCTGAATGTCTTTTGACTTGAAACTGAATGACCTGCGATTGACATCTGACGGCTTTTGATCAATTTCTAATGACATCTGATGGACTGCAGATGGTTGGTGATTGACTTCTGATCTGTCGTATGTCACTTTGTATCCATTTAATTGAATAAATATATCTTTACATACAACTTCCCCCATGAAAGGCCACTGGTGGTATGCCGCTGACTGCCGATGATGGTCCGCTGGCGGTTTGGGAGCGGCAGGCCGCTGGTGGCATGCCACTAACCTACCACTGGCAGACCGCTGATGGTTTTGGTCGGCGAGCCGATGCCGACAAGCCGCTCCCCACCCATCAGTGGTCCGCCGGTGGCTTGCGGACTGGGCATCAACATACGACCGTCCTAACAAACTTGTTATCTATGGAACGCCAAAGAGGCATTTAATGTGATCATCGAATCGGTGATGGACTTTTGCAATCGGTGATGCATATTCACGATCGGTGATGGACTTTCGCGATCGGTGATGGACTTTTACTGGTGATGCATATTCACGATCGGTGATGGACTTTCGCGATCGGTGATGGACTTTTACTGGTGATGCATATTCACGATCGGTGATGGACTTTCGCAATCGGTGATGGACTTTCACTGGTGATGCATATTCACGATCGGTGATGGACTTTCGCGATCGGTGATGGTCTTTCGCGATCGGTGATCAAAGCTGCGATGACCAGTCGTTGAGTAAAATTCCATCACTGATTGCGAAAGTCCATCACCGATCGTGCATATGCACCACCAGTAAAAGTCCATCACCGATTTCGAAAGTCCATCACCGATCGTGAATATGCATCACCAGTAAAAGTCCATCACCGATTGCGAAAGTCCATCACCGATAGTCATATGCATCACCAGTAAAAGTCCATCACCGATTGCGAAAGTCCATCACCGATCGTGAATATGCATCACCAGTAAAAGTCCATCACCGATCGCAAAAGTCCATCACCGATCGTGAATATGCATCACCAGTAAAAGTCCATCACCGATCGCGAAAGTCCATCACCGATCGTGAATATGCATCACCAGTAAAAGTCCATCACCGATCGTGAATATGCATCACCGATTGCAAAAGTCCATCACCGATTCGATGATCACATTAAATGCCTCTTTGGCGTTCCATAGTTATCGGAACAAATTCCAGGACACGTATCATGAAAATGTCGCGCTGTGTATGCTGATGTGAATTCTGCTCACTGAGTATACGTACCTTCACATTGCATTTCCGGACACGGATGTGAAATCAGGAAGACCAATTTAAAGCAGATGTCTGAGGTTAGGAAACATAAATTAATTTGCCTGGACGCATTGGAATTTATATTAAACGACAGTTAAAAAAAAATCATCAAATTATAGTAAAATAGGCCTATAAATGTAATTATTTATCAATACGTAATAACAACACTTAAATCCAATATAGAAATATATTGATTTCATACTCCTGCGCGAAGATTTCATAGGACGAGTTATTATTTTCCTGCATATAACATAGTGTCCGTTATGAGCTTCCGTCGTTTTACGCGAACGGCCGTGTTGCTGATTCAACTTTGAACTTGAATCCTGAGCATTCATTGTGCGTTGGCACTGCATGGGAAGTGTACAAGTGCCGAGCGATTGAAATAGCAACTGGTTTTCCCCATGATGAGTAAATGGAACTGCACGCAATACTAACTGTACTGTTGTTGAACAATACCGGGATCAATGATGTGCACTGTTATGTTTAACTGTTAAATGCCTTCTACCTAAATCAAAGGCATTTATTGTGTTAGTTTGTGCGACACAAAATAGCAAATGGTTTTCCCATGTTGAGTAAAAGAATTGAGCTGTTGTTACGCCATTCATCGGTCGATAATGCTGGTCTACCTTGTTGTACATGTACATGTATAATATAGTATGCAAGGCTGTTGGTAATTTTTCCGTTCATGTGTTAACAACGGGAATTCTCACGCTGCAAATCTGTGGTCGAAAACTTCGGCTATTTAACCGTCTAATCACTGAAGGTGAGTAAATGTTGTCTCTTTGTAAAGATGCTACCCCGTGCTCTTTATTATTAACGGATTTTCCATTTGTATGTTTTGTTTTAACGCAAAAAAATGTAATTTATTCCGGATTTGGACGTCTATCTGCACCCTCTTTAATAAAATATTAATATTGCGCACAATAATTCTTTTTTTTTGTGAAGGAATAATTCAATAACTAATCATCTGTGGAATTTTTCGTTTGATGTCTCATTTAAAAGTGAATAACTTTCGTATTTCTAGGAAAATACCAAACAAAAACAAACCAACTTTTTCCAGGGGAAACTCGAAAATAGCACAGGGAATACACTTTTTTAAACATGATTCGCACGAACGATTAGCCTATCAATCGATGTGTGGTTGCAAGGGTGGACCTAGCTAGCTGAACCCTGGGGTCATTGGATATGAATAGATGGAAGGCCGAGGGCATGCCCCAAAACTTATTTGAAATATTCGATTCTTTCTCATTCATTATAAGGCAATTGAAGAAATGTGTTACGAACATTAGCACCCCATTTATTACTAGAGCCCCATTTTACTTGTATAACATTAGTCCACGGCTAAGGGGGGGGGGGTGTTACAACCCCTCAACACCCTCCATTATTCGCCATAGGTTTGAAATATGCGGCTGCGTACGCCCCCCCCCCTCCTCCAATGCCGCTCGCGATGTTCTTTCCCCAAACGACATCCGCCATCCGCATATAGTGTACGTATATGACGTTTTGCACTTTACCTCTCTTAAAACATGAAAAAATATATAAAATTAGAAACAAAGAAATAAATTCGAACGTAATGAAATTCGGACTTTATTTCCCAATAAATAAAAAAAAAACAGCCTCAGAAAAGAAAAGAAAACGAAAAATTTGATGAAACGGTGTTTTGAACCCACATCACGGGGATCCCTCGCGGTACAAAACCACGACTCTACCGATTGAGCTGTCTAACTGCTCGGCCAATCCTGCGCACGTCAGGCGCAGTTCTACGGGGGGGGGGGGGGGGGGGGGGGGCTAGGGGGGCTGTAGCCCCCCCCCCAAAAAAAAAAAAATTGCATTAGCAAAAAGAAGGATTGTGATGTACATGCGAACGGTCTCCCCCTAAAGAAGAAATATAGCCGTGACGAGGGTGCATTAGATAGGGTGAATGATTTTAGGATTTTATTGGCGCTCCCCATTGAAAATATGTCATGCCCCCCCCCTATTGATTTTCGGAGGCCTAAGTGTCTTGGAAAAATAACCGGTCAACATTTCAACACGCCTCCCTGAAAACATTCTGGATCCACCGTGCTAGCCCCCCCCCCCAAAAAAAAAAAAAAAATATTGGTTCTAGAACCGCGCCTGGCGCACGTATCTGATAAAAGTGTAGAGGGTGCTCAACAACCGTGCAATGTGGATGTTGTTTAGGGGGGGGGGGAAACTCCCCCCCCCCACCCACCCACCCACCCACTCAACCATGACCAGTCACCATCTGCTCTTCCTGCTGTACAGTTGAACTTTTTTGGGTTGTTTAAGTGACACTGAGTTTTTTTCATCTGTTTTAGTTTGTAGATACACGTAGGGAGATGGCGGAAGCTGCAGCAAAAACTGTGTTGGACAAGATTAGCCAGGGACATCTGGAATGTCCGATCTGTTGCTGCCGTTTCAAGGATCCCAAGATGTTGGACTGTCTTCACAGCTTCTGCCTGAACTGTCTGGAAGAGATGATGAGCAAACAGAAGTCAGAGACAGAGAAGATAACATGCCCAGTCTGCAGGAGTGAGACGCAGGTTCCCGATAAAGGATTGCTCAATTTATCTTCGTCTTTCTTTCTTAGTTCTCTTGTCGATGAGGTCAAACAACAGGAGACGCTATTAGGGAAAGTATCGAGACCTACCGCCACGTGTGACTGCGGAGATGACCAGAAGGCCACTTGGAGGTGTCTTGACTGTGGTGATAACCTCTGCCAGAAATGCCGCCAAGCCCATGGGAGGGTAAAGTACACCAAAGACCATCAGATCATTTCATTAGAAGATTGGCGCAAATCAAATATCCCTACTTTAGGTAAAGATCATGGCAAGCCAATCTCCCGAATGTGTACGAACCACACTGAATATGATTTATGTTTCTATTGTGACACCTGTGATACCTTCATCTGCGCTATGTGCGCCGCAACAGATCATCGGTCTGCAGAGCACAATTACAAAAAGATTAATGAATCTTTAAGATCCTTCCGTATGGAAGTCGACGACATTTTGAAGGAGTTTGAGATGTCCAAGAACTACTCCAGATCCACTGAAAAGTCAATCGAACATGCACGAAATAGATTGCAAAACAAACTGGCTCAGGTTCGTAGTGATATTTCTGCAAAGGCGGAGGCAGAGATCGCTAAGATCCGAAACAAAGCAAAGCTTCTCACCAAAAAGGTCGACGAAATCGGTCAGGAGAGAGACAGAGAGTACGAAAAGGCGCTCATGCACAACCGTGACCAGACGGAACGCGCAGATCAGATCGTCACGGCAGTAAAAGACTTGATGAGACAAGCCGATAGTTTCGAGCTATTGGAGCTCAAGCCGAAGGTGATGAGCAACTTGGAATTCCAGAAGGAGCTCAAATGTGAACCGGTAAAGCTGGACATCATCGGGGTCAAATGTCACGATGTCGTTAGTGATACCGATCTTGGGGAAATATTGCTCAAAGAGAAGTGGCAGTTGAAGAAAGAGTTCGGCAAGGAAGGCACCGGTCACGGGGGATTCAAAATGACAAGAGGCGTTGCATGTTTCAGCAACGGTGACATCGTAGTATGTGACACAGACCTGAAACGGGTGTCGTTGTTTGCCAGCAATGGACGGTATAAAACATTGATTGCTCAGGGAGCAGGTATCAATCAGTTGGAATGTCCTTTTGGTGTTGCAGTGAACCGTGAAGATCTGCTTTTCGTCACGGACAAACAGAAAGTGAAGGTTTTTGACACTGAGCTAAAGTTTGTTCGCGAGTTTACACTTTTGGTTGACGATGCAGAGGGGCTAGCAGAGAGTGACCTCAGTGGTATTGCTGTGGACAAGCAACGAGTAGCAGTGGCCGATTGGGGGAGAAAGGCCTTCAGTGTCCACAACTCGGACGGATTATTGATTGGATGTACATCAAACATCATGATTCGGTTTTACATAGCAATGAGCAACACAGAGCGGCTTGTCGTCCCAAACTATGTGGAGAAGAGGCTGCTGTGCGTTGACTTTAAGGGCAATGAGGTGTTCAACGTAACGCCATTACTGAACGGAAAACCAGCGAGACCGACTGGTGTCCTGTGCGATGATGATGGGAGCATCTATGTCGCTCTTCACTCTGGGTTCGGTGTCAACGAAGTGCAACACTATGACTCGAAAGGTGCATTCATCGCAACAGTTGCTAAAGGGTTGTACAGCCCTCGTGGAATGGCATTTACTCCCGCTGGTGATGTCATTGTTGCAGACGGTCACTCTGTCAAGATCTTTCAGAGGATATAATCTGCTTCACTGAAGACAATCTTGTCCCCTCTGCTAGCCAACTGCGTTCCCTAAAATCCACAAATAATAATATCCGACAAATTGCAAAACATGTTATTTTGTATTGATTTTTAAAGTGATTTGTAAAACAACACTCGAATACGTTTGTTTCTGATCGAGAAATAGAAAAGATGTTTAACTTTCTTTAAAGCGACCGTAGTGTATTTTTTCCCTACCAATGCTGGATAAAGGCACCCATTTAAGTGTCAAATATATTTTCAAATGGACATTCCACTGAGATTTAAACTTCAAAATAATACGTAACTGGCTATGTCCGCTGATATTTGGAGTGGTTACTGTTTTGTTAAAGTTTACAGTTCTGACGCTGACATTCTGCGGAGATATCGTCAAGTTAATCTAAGTAATACGCTCTGTATATATGGCCAGTTTATTATTCTATTTACGAATCAAGAGAGTGGGAGTTTAAATGTTTCATGACAGTGAGCTTTTGGGGTTTCTGTTTCGTGCAAAAAGAACATTCGTTTGGTCAATAATTGATGTGTGACCTATACACAGTTGTAAATAACAAGTTATAGCTAGTTTAGCGACTGTTGATGAAATAATAGATTTTAGCACCGATGCTAAGCATTGAGAAGGCGTATGGAAAACGGATCCAATGAAGTGAGGTACATGTTTGTTCTGACCCTTATACCGACTGAAATATTCTACCATTACTAAGCATTTTGAAATATGTGTTGAGGGGATGCTAATATGCCCTTTCCATGCAGACTTCATCCAAATTCACACCCACTTCGAAAATCCTAGATGCTTAATTGTTTCACAACCCTTTTGAGTTTATCTTTGTTGTTTTTTCTGGTTCGATTGTACCAAACTACACAGTCGTGAATGATGACACTTTCTATGACCGAAGTGTACAAAAAGACATTATTACCCTATCGACCCAAAATGAACAGTTTGTTTTACTTAAAGAGAAAATAATTATAATTGGAAAAAAAATACTTTAAATAGCTTAATCGTATTAAATACAACCGCTGCCCCAAATTTCAGTTCGTGCTTAATTATTGCATACTAATGAGTTTCGTCTTGTTTCCTTACAGGTCACAACACGTTTTAAATTACTACAATGAGAATAAAACATGTTGTTTTATGGTCAAAATGCAATCTGATACATCCAAATGTGTCTATACTTAGAAAGAGAGGGTCAGATATTTGAGCAAATTATACAGTGTCGTGCTTAGTTATGTTGTAGAGGCCATTCACATCTATGGCTTTATGCAGGGAAGATGGGATGCATTATATTTCCTTCCGGTTGTTTATGAGTAATTGCAAACAAATCCATCACAAGATATCACAAGCCATGTCACATGTCAAATAATGTGCAATGAAAATTTTTTTTTAAATTCTTGTGAATTGATTTGACAATGGATGACTTCTGATTGACATCTGATGACTTGTGATTGACTTCAGATTGTGACTTATTTCTGATGACTTGCGATTGACATTTGATGACTGGTGTTTGACTTTTAATCTTTGAGTACTTCTCTGTTATTAAATTTGGATACAGTTGACTGAACATAAATACATTTTCATATGTATCCTCCCCATGATATCACCCATCAACCCACGTCAGTCCTAATGCACATCTAATCGGAACAAAGGCACGGATTGTCAGCGACGGCGGAATTTTTTTGAAAGTGTTGGGGGTGAGGGGAGACTGAGGGAAGCACCTTCTGGAGTCTACCCGATGTTCCCCAATACCGAAGTTCCCCGATTTTTAGGGTTAGGGTTAGGGATAGGATTAGGGATAAGGTTACGGTTGGGAAACATCGGTACTTTTTTGGGGAACATAGGTATTGGGGAACATAGGTTTGCACCCGCACCTTCCGACCAAAAAACAGCCGGCCGTTGAAATTTCGAAAAGTTTGTGTGTTTTGTGGGAGGGGGAGATGAGACCTTGGGCTGGACCTCATTTGAAGCTTTGGGGCACATTTTTAGGTGCTGGGCCTTGAGCCCAGTGATGTAGTGCCTTGATGCTGGGCCTTGGCCTTAAGATCAAACATAAATTTCAGATTATTGAAATTAAACCGATTTTATCAGCATACTTTCCACCTGATTCTTTCACATGTGTTTTTAAATGTAAAGATACATTCTTCTTGGACAGAAATAACTTGAAAAAGGCTCAATAATGTTTCCAAATCCATCAACTGTTTCAGCTTTCAATACGTTTTAAATTCCCATATAAATGTTCTGTTATTTTCTCACAGACCACAGTATGTTTGAATTCTAAAAACGAGAAAAAAAACACAAAAAGCTGAGATCTTTTCATCTTTAAAATGCAACCTGCTACATCATATCATTTGTGTGGTTAAAAAAAAGAGGGTCGCATATTGCAGTTAAATTGACAGTGGCATGCATCGCCATACTGTTAGAGGCATAGTTTATGCGCGCATGATAGAAGCTGAACGAATCGTACTTTGTCCATATTTTTTTGGAGTTTCAGTCAAGTCACATCACAAGTCAATTTCATATCAAATCTCGAGCCATGCCATAAAGTCGGAGAATATGTTATGACAAAGAAACGTCTGAATTTCTTGTATCTTGAAACTGAATGACCTGCGATTGACATCTGACGGCTTTTGATCAATATCTAGTGACTTCTGATGGACTGCAGATGGCTGGTGATTGACTTCTGATCTGTCGTATGTCACTTTGGATCCATTTAATTGAATACAAATATATCTTTACATAAAACTTCCCCATGAAAGGCCACTGGTGGTATGCCGCTGACTGCCGATGATGGTCCGCTGGCGGTTTGGGAGCGGCGGGCCGCTAGTGGCATGCCACTTAAACCTACCACTGGCGGACCGCTGATGGTTTTGGTCGGCGAGCCGATGCCGACAAGCCGCTCCCACCCATCAGTGGTCCGCCGGTGGCTTGCGGACTGGGCATCAACATACGGCCGTCCTAACAAACTTGTTATCGGAACAAATTCCAGGACACGTATCATGAAAATGTCGCGCTGTGTATGCTGATGTGAATTCTGCTCACTGAGTACGTACCTTCACATTGCATTTCCGGGTACGGATGTGAAATCAGGAAGACCAATTTAAAGCAGATGTCTGAGGTTAGGAAACATAAATTAATTTGCCTGGACGCATTGGAATTTATATTTAACGAATGTTAAATGTTAAAAAAAAATTATCAAATTATAGTAAAATAGGCCTATAAATGTAATTATTTATCATTACGTAATAACACTTGAAATCCAATATAGAAATATATTGATTTCATACTCATGCGCGAAAATTGCATAGGACGAGTTATTATTTTCCTGCATATAATATAGTGTCCGTTATGAGCTTCCGTCGTTTTAGGCGGACGGCCGTGTTGCTGTTTGAACTTTGAACTTGAATCCTGAGCATACATTGTGCGTTGGCACTGCATGGGAAGTGTACAAGTGCCCAGCGATTGAAATAGCAACTGGTTTTCCCCATGATGAGTAAATGGAACTGCACGCAATACTAACTGTACTGTTGTTGAACAATACACGGATCGATGATGTGCACTGTTAAGTTAACTATTAAATGCCCTCTACCTAAATCAAAGGCATTTATTGTGTTAGTTTGTGCGACACAAGATAGCAAATGGTTTTCCCATGTTGAGTTAAAGAATTGAGCTGTTGTTACGCCATTCATCGGTCGATAATGCTGGTCTACCTTGTACATGTATATTGTATGCAAGGCTGTTGGTAATTTTTCCGTTCATGTGTTAACAACGGGAATTCTCACGCTGCAAATCTGTGGTCAAAAACTTCGGCTATCAAACCGTCTAATCAGTGAAGGTGAGTAAATGTTGTCTCTTTGTAAAGATGCTACCCCGTGCTCCTTATTATTAACGAATTTTCCATTTGTATGTTTTGTTTTAACGAAAACAAAATGTAACTTCTTCCAGTTTTGGACGTCAATCTGCAACCCTCTTTAAAATAATTTTAATCTTGCGCACAATAATTCGATTTTTGTTAAGAAATAATTAAATAACTAAACGTCGTTGGAATTTTTCGTTTGATGTCTCATTCAAAAGTGAATGACTTTTGTATTTCTAGGAAAATAGCAAACAAAAACAAACCAACTTTTATAGGGGAAACTCAAAAATAGCACAGGGAATTTCCTTTTTTAAACTGATTTTGTTTTGTTCATGACTCGCACTGACGATTAGCCTATCAATCGATGTGTGGTTGCAAGGGTTGACCTAGCTAGCTGAACCCTGGGGTCATTGGATATGAATAGATGAGATGAGTGGACGCAGGCATAATCGAAGGCCGAGGGCATGCCCCAAAATTATTTGAAATAGTCGATGCTTTCTCCTTCATTCTAAGGCAATTAAAAAAAAAATGTTTTACGAACATCAGCATGCCATTTTACTTGTATAACATTAGTCCACGGCTAAGGAGGGGGGTGTTGCAACCCCTCAACACCCTCCATTATCCGCCATTGGGTTGAAATATGCGGCTACGTACGCCCCCACCCACCCCACCCCCTCCCATGCTGCTTGCGATGTTCTTTCCCCAAACGACATCCGCCGTCCGCATATAGTGTACGTATATAACGTTTTGCACTTTACTTCTCTTAAAAACATGAACAATATATAAAATAAGAAACAAAGAAATACATTTGAACGTAATGACATTCGGGCTTTATTTCCCAATAAATAAAAAAAAACAGCCTCAGAAAAGAAAAGAAAACGAAAATCGGATAAAATGGTGTTTTAAACCAACATCGCGGGGTCCCTCGTGGTACAAAACCACAACTCTTCCGACTGAGCTGTCTAACTGCTCGGCCAATCCTTGAAATTCATGGTATTATATACCTGCGCACGTATCATAAAAGTTTCGAGGGTGCTCAACAACCATGCAATGTGGATGTTGTTAAGAGTTGAATTTTTTTTATCTGTTTTAGTTTGCAGATACACGTATAGGAAGATGGCGGAAGCTGCAGCCAAAA